AGACCGGCCATTATTAGAGACCCGGCCGCTATTGGAATACAGGCCAATATTAGAGAATTTACGGTATGTATAATATATTACATTTCTGACTGTATATCCCTGTAATTATTACACACTGTAGCTTTAAGGGAGAAACACATGGAGACAGTCTTGGTGTAATTCAGAGTTAAGCAGTTATTTTGGAACCACTCTGACAAGATGCACAACTGTCTGTTTAACAGATCAGAGGCCTTTTCAGGTGTGTCTGCTGCTAAATCAATTATTGTACCATCTGCATACATTTGACAGATGGCATCTTTGCAGATGTTTGGGATATCATTTATGTACAAACAGAAAAGTAATGGGCCCAAAATAGACCCTTGTGGTACACCCATATTACATTTTTGGATCCCAGATTTGATGCCATTAATTTTGACGCACTGATGTCGTTGCTCAAAATAAGATTTGAACCAGCTTAAGGTTTGTTTCGAAACATGTAGTTGTTCCAGTTTCCTTAGCAGAACTGTGTGATTTACAGTATCGAACGCTTTTGTAAAATCTAGAAATACTGCCCCAACACATTTTCCTTCATCCAAACTACTTTTTATGTATTCCGTAAAATGGCATACAGCCATTTCAGTGGAATACCTTGGTCTAAATCCAAATTGTTTAGAGTTAAGTATTCCTTTCTCCTCTAGATAGGCCATTAATTGTTCAGCAACTAGCTTCTCTAGCACCTTAGAAATGACAGGTACAATTGCAATAGGTCGATAATTACAGACCGCATCAGCTGATCCGGACTTAAAAATTGGAGTCACAACAGCTGTTTTAAACCCTTGTGGAAATTCACATTTTTCAATTGACAAGTTCACTAGATGAGATATTAGTTTTACTAGATCTGCACTATACTTTTTGATTGAAAATGTATCTAAACCAAATATATCTTTTGCTTTGGATGAATTTAATTGATTGATAATTGTCCTTATTTCACTTTGGTCAACCTGTTTAATGTGAAAAGGTGAGGCTGAATCTTCAGCAACATTACATTACATATATACATATATATATATATATACATATATATAT